CGCCGCGGGGCCCGAGGGGCGGCACGAGCAGCCCCAGCGCCGCGGAGCCCCGTGAGACGAGACTCAGCGGCCGGGCCGGGCGGAGGAAGCCAGGACGCGGCCTATCTCAGCCATGGTGAGTCCATTTACCACTGTCCCCAGCTTACTAAATAAGGGCAAACGCGAGCAGCGTTGCAGTTCCTGATTCTGCCCTTGGCATGTGTTTCAATGCACCTCTTGAGCAACAGTTGGTCTGACCACAAACATTTAGCAAATTCGGGAAGTTTTGCCCTCATTTGAAAGCCTGACTGAATCCATCTTTTCACTAGGAACAGATGACGACTTCTGCTGAGAAACTGCCAGCAAGTGCCAACCCCGAGATAAAAAAACCTCCTCATCTGCCTCTCTGCAAAAACCCTGGAAATCCGGTGTTTTCCTGTATGCTAGACCCAAAAACACTCACAACCAATATTTTTTTGACAAAGCCTCAGATTCTACTGTTTAAAACAACTTCAAGCGAGTATGGTGCAATACCACCTACCTCCCAGATAGCACCTTGTACTTACCATCCAAAGGATCAGGCATTTACGACCCACTTACTCACCTGCGGGTCATTTAGAAACAGCCAGTTAAACACTGCTCTTGACAGAGGTAGGGTTTGTGACTACCCAAATTTTCAGCACACTCTGTAAAAACACATCTCTCATTTTCATATTTGTTTATTTAAATAGTGGGCCCTTAACCTTAGGAAAACAAGTTTGAATTTGTTATTTCAGTCATTCTGGGACTAAACTGTCTATATATGATTCAGTTTGACCTTGTTGGGCCAAGTTTGATGTATCAAGCAGGATACAGTTAGTTTGATAATACACTTGTCTAAACCCATACAAATAGAACTCCTGAAATTAGAATGATAACTGTATAGCTAATTTATAGAAAGTGTTAAGTGCCAGAGAAATTAACCTGAAGGCTTACTTGTATTAAAGTATTTTCTGGTTTTAAAACTATGCCAGTTTCCATGTTTCTTTATAGCAAGACATGAATATCAGCATCATGCATGTGACTGATACAAACAATCACCTGAGGTGTTGAAGTCAGAAACCTAATAACCATGGGCTCCCAATACAAGCAGATGGGACATGCAGACAGTATTCATCCCAGCAAACACACATGTGCCTTTCTAACCTTAAAAGAGGACATTCTATTTCATAACCGCCAATTGCAAAAGGTAAAAATCACATAAAAATAAACTATCAAACTCCATTATAGCCAGCACTGCATTAAAGCTTTAAAAGTACTGAAACACTTTGGGACAGATTTTCCTTCCTGTTCCACTCACTTTACACTGAATGATTTTGTAAAGCAAACAGGAGTCATTCACACAACCCCCATCTAAAAGTTCTCCTTGAGGAAGAGGGTGCACGTGAATTGTGGAGCCATTTTAACCAATTCCAGATTGCATTTCTCCATAAAGCATGGGCCGATGAACGAAAGTGGCTGCAGAAAAAGTTGCCTGTCTACCTCCAAAATAGTCTTTAGACACCATAACCAACTGCTACAATATCCAATACAAATACATATAGATTCTTCTAACAGGCTCTGGAACCAAAATAGAGATTTATGAACCTGGAAGCAGCTTAGGCTTCTTCACATTTTCTTATCTCCACTTCACCTCAGTACTTGAAAGGAAGAAAACATGGACTGTATTAACATTACACTCAACTGAGGCACTAAAGCTCCTGCACTGCTCCCCTTTCAGCTGCAACAAACAAAGTATTCTCACCTCCTTCCATTGCAATGCAGTAGGTGTCTGGCAAAAAGAAGGAACACAGATATCCTACCCATTTTTGTCTTGCCTCAGCACCCCTCTTAAGGGTCTAGGTACTATAGCTAGAGGCAGCACCTGTAACTTCCTTACTGTGCCAATAAATATTTTCTTTGAAACAGAAACTTGAGAATCATAAATGGTATTCAGAAAAATTTAGCCAAGAAAACTACTAATGAAAGCAAAATATTTGAAATATTCGGATTGGACAAAACATATAGCATAGCAAAACTGCTTTAAGCCCTATGTTTCAGGTTTTCATAAATAAATGAAAACACCAACATATGTATAAACAATACCATTCGATAGTACATTCTTCCACTACCCAAAATAACAGCTGCACAACTTCAAAACACACTATCATGCTTCATGTAGTTTTACAAGACTTGTAACCTGACCAGGGTGCTCTTTTTTCAAAACCTTTAATTGCATCAGTTTTCCTAAGATACCAGTCAATGTCAACAGAGTACAGATTAAAACACTAGGTTAAGAGATAAATATATTTCTATTTAGATATCAATGTTTTTGATTTACAATAGCTACACTGTAAGATTACTAAATGTTTTAGGATGGGAAAAAAAAAGTTAGTCATATCATACTAATTAATAGGATAATTACCTCAGTAATAATTTACCATTACACTGCAATACAGCACAACAGATTTGTGGTTTTTCCAACAAATTTATTTGGTCAGCCCAAGAAGATCTTTCAAAATAAACTGTAAACACAATGTACATTCATTTTAGCAGTAAGGAATGTTCTGCACTGCACAACATCTACCTTTAACCTCTCAGACTTAGATTTTCTGAATCGGGTGCCTGAATTACAAAATTTCAATATAATGTTTTAGTTTCAGATGTCCCAAACAGTTTAAACACTAAGAGGAAAGCATTAAAAGTATATAATCAAAAAATAAATAAAATGTGAAAGAATGGCCTTCTGTCTTCTCTAGGAATATAAGTACTCAAAAGGCATAAAAATTCAGACTGCTTAAATAATACTGAATTTTACAACACCCAAGTTTGACAGACTTTTAAAGAGGTATATTTTGGAATTCTTCCTATTGAAAATTCATATAAAATGTTAGCACTATAGGAAATAAGTGTAGAAATTTCATATTTCACATCAGATATGTCCATTAGCATTCATGACCACTTTCAGCTTTGGTGGAGAAAGAAAGGTAAGAAAGTTAACAGTGTTGACTATACGCAGCTAGTGAAGTTGTTTGAAAATCCACTGTTAAGATTCAGTAGATACTTACAGACAAATATTTTGTTTAGTTATGACTAATCTTTATTTAAATCCAAAAAGTCTGCTTTATTATGACCCAATCCTTCACAGAAAGTAAACACATGACAAGTTTGGATCCAAATGCTATAAACTGCACCCAAATCTCTCTTTTACATATCTAATCTTTTACCTATTTTGCAGCTATTCTGAGTGTTACAGCAAAATAGCTAGTTAACAATGTACCAGGGCACACATGAACCAAAATGTCTTCTAAAATTTTCTTACTTTTTTTTTTTCTCTCTTTTTTACAAGTCTTGTGAGGTTCCTTGAATTATGCGTCGAATCTTCTCAGCATCTTTCTCTATTGTGCTATTTTTAGGATCAATCTTGAGTGCTGCTTCATAATCCTGGAGACCTAGTACAGATACATTAAAAAAGAACATCGGTTAGAGCAAAATATGTGATCCTCTTCAGCAACTGACTGGAAATTCTATGCATATGACTAGGTAGCTGTTAAGTATTGCTCTTGAATTCTAGATAATGCTATTGAATACAATGAATCATAGAATGCTTAAGGTTGGTGGACTCTAGAGGTCATCTAGTCCAACACACATGCACATGCAGGGTCACCTAGAGCACGTGGCACAGGACTGTATCCAAGTGGGTTTTGAAGATCTCCAGAGGAAGAGACTCCACAACCTCTCTGGGCAGCCTGTTCCAGTGCTCTGTCACCCTCACTGTGAAGAAATTTTTCCTTAAGTTCCTGTGGAACTTTTGATGCTTCAGTTTGTGGCCATTACCTCTAGTTCTGTCGATGGCCACCA